CCCTTGCACTGCCATACACACAGACCCCCACACCTACACCCCCTCACACATCCCAGCCATGCTTCCCACACACACACAGCCCCCCACAAATCCCATACCCACCCACACCTCAGTTATACACACAGACCCCCATACTCCCTCACACCCACACGCTCTTCCACATACCCACACACCCACAGCCCCCCACAAACCTATACCCATCTCTCAATGCATGCCCCCACACATCCACAGTTTACAAGAGTAAGACTTAATTTTAAGCTATTGTGTGATCACCTCTATGTACACTACACAAACACATATAAATCAGGAGAAAAATATTTTTTGAAATCAAATTAATGAATGCTGTAGATGCTTGCTTTATATATATTTATTTAATTTGGTATTTTATGGCAAAACTCCTTGATGAAAGGAGTATTTCTTGGGACAAGGGGAGGGGCTTCGGGTGGCAAAGGTCAGGGGTTAGGGGGTGGAACTTCCCATCCCAAGATCACGACCAGGGGGTGGGGCACCTGTCAAGGGGCAGAGCTACCTATGGCCCTTTACAGCTTGCCAAAACTTGGTAACCAGCCTTCTGCTCAAAATAGTTGCCTGCCCCTGCCCTATACATTTGCATTGCCCTTCTCTGAATCCTTAGTAATAATGCAGTAGCATTTGAATTGTGATGATTACTGCAAGAAGCTACACCATTGGTCTGTATTGCCTGCATTATATAAATTATTCACCATTCTGTTCCTAACATGAAACTATAGTATTTGTACTTTTGACCCCAGCTGCACTTGAAGCAGAGGGCTTCTCAACTATCCCCTGGGATTGCCAGTTCATTTAAAAGCATTGATGTTGTAAAAACACATGAACAATTTAACTCCAAAGTACAATATTTTAAAATAATCAACACTATACTTCATTGGCCATTATGTTACCCATTTGCCCTGCTTGTTTAGATCTCTCTGAAGTTCCTCTCAGATCTCTCTGGACTTCAGTATTCTATGTACCTATATGTTACCTGAGAATATGGCTACCTAGCTATTCATTTATTTTTCAAATCATAAATCATTATATTAAACAGTCCTTGACTAAGTAAAAAAACTGCAATGTTTCCCTGAGATTACGTTTTTACAGTTAAGATAAATGAGTCTTTATTAGCATTTTTAGATAAGCGGTTACCTCATACCCTATTTTTGATCTATGATGATATTTGGCCTTTCAGTTCAAGAATGCTTGGTTTCTTTTGAACCCTCTCATAGGGGACTTTATCAACGGCCTATTAAAACTCACTACTTTATGAATACTTTTGACAAATTTTTGTAGATAAGTCATGATTTTCTTTTGATGAAACCTCACAGCTTAGATCCTATTGTATCAACATCTTATAGGCTTTTTTTTGTGCTCTTTTGTCAGTTATTATTTCAACTAATTTCCAGGTACAAATTTAAGGCTTAGTCTTCTCTAATTTTTCAGATAACCTCTACTGTTTTTAAAAAAAAATATCAATGCAACATTATCACCTCATAGCCCTTTCATAATTGAGTTTCTTCAGTACTTACAGTTGTTTACCATCTGGACCTGGTGACTTACTGCTTTTTAAATGATTTATTAACTCCAACACTAGTTCTTCTGATACCTCAAATTATGAGTGTATTTAATCTTACTTACCAGAAAAGGCCAAATATCAGGTTAGTATCTCATCATCCATCCATGGCTTAACTTGTCTATTTCAATTGACTCCTGAAATATACTCTTTCTACCTCAGGCTTCCTGTGTCTCGTATATTTGAAGAAACTTGTGCTGTTTTTAAGCCTTTAGCTATTTGCTCTTCAAAATCCATGTTACCCTTTCTAACTTCCCCCTATATAGTCTGCTGTAATTTATGTTCCTGTTTGTTTTTCCTAGATTCATATTTCCAAATTTCTGTTTAAGTCAAATTTCTTGTGCTTAGCACCAGCGCCATCAAACAAGTTAACCTTTCCACATGTGCTACCCACTCTCCCCAGATTGAAGCCATGTAGCTGCACATGTCATTCTGGGAAGGAATTTAGTTATCCCTGCCCAGTCATGGTGTCCTTTGCTCTTTGGAGGCTAAACATCTAAAACCTAGCTCTATAAACATAGAAGTTTTCTCCTTCCTTTCTTGTTTCCTTCTTTGTTCAGTGGTATATGTGTCTTGAGACGCAATTATTGTTTTCTTAAGAAGCACCCTACTATGCCTAAAGATTTTTTCCTTTTAGTTTTGCCTTTAGGGCTTTTTTAAACTAGTCTCCTCATTTGCATATTTAAAATGTGCAGCCTGGAGGCTGTTCAGTTTCATCGGTTCTAGTTTGCTTTTTCAGTGGTAGTAAATGGACCTTTTCAGTTTGCCATTGTCTAGCTTGATACTGAACACAGGAATCCTTTATTTGTCCTTAAATGTCATCTATTAGATTTGTGCAGTTACATTGTGCCAGCAAAGCTGTAATGGGTCCTAGGTGCTACATGTATTACAGCAGTTCTTCTGAAACTCTAATAAATGTCATTAAAGAAATAAAGGTATGGTTAAATAATGCAAACAGATGAGGAAAGGGTCAAACAGGTCTTATCTGAAGACATTAAAGCATCCTATTAAAGTTGTTTTTAAAGCCAAGGCAGAGCAGGCAAAAAATATTTTGAAGAGCTTCAAAACCTCTTTCTTAATTAATTAATTAATTATAAAATGCAAATGATAGTGTGTGTGCGTGTGTGTGTGTGTGTGTGTGTGTGTGTGTGTGTGCATGCGCATATGCATGCACCCATATGTGCTTTTGTTTGTATTTATCAGTGGTGCCCAACCTGCCATCCCTGTGGGCTGGATGAGAGGTGCAGGGTTGGTCCACAGGTCAGATCCTGTGTGCGGTTGGCATGTAGTGTCAGTTCACATGCAGAGCTACAATATCCAGCCTGCTCAGTTCCCCGTGGATTTATACATTTGGCAACAGGAGCATGGCAATTGATGTTGTCACTGCTCCCCTACCATCAAATTTCTGGACCCATGGGCAGCCTCATTGACCAGATGGCATTGTTCCACAGGCTGGAGGTTGGACATCACTGGTATAAACTCATCTAAACATTAACTCTTGTTATGGGTAAATATAGATAGTCAAAAAGCCCAAGGCTGTATTGATTCAGTCTTTTCAGGTTAGTCTAAACTGCAGAGATTAAATTGAAACGGAAGTGAACAGACATTTACCTTTGGTTCAGGAAGTGCAGCCACCCGTTTGCAGTGGCTCAGGCCAGAAGCCAGGGGGCCCTACAGCATGGCTCTCTGGCACATAGCCAGGATGGGCACTGTATTTGCTTCCTCCTCCTGCTACCACTGAGGTCTCTGGGATTTGAAGCCCCAAATCACAGCAAGAGTATTCTGCAGGGTTGCTTATCACTTGCTCTTGCTGCTTCCAGGTGCCTCTGGGATTTGTAGTGAGTTTGAGCGGGGAAGGAGTGTTTAACCCCGCTCCAGCCAAGGTTTGCCTGGGGAAGGCAGCCCTCCCCCCCAACCTGCAGACCAGGCTACATCCTCAGCAGGGCTTGCCCCACCTCCCTTGTCAGCCAGCCCTCACTGCTCCACCTAGGAAGCAGAGGTGCAAGGGCAACCCTGCTCTCTGGAGCACACAGCCCAGCCCAGCCCAGGAATGCAAAGCATGCTGGGATGCAGGGGGACTCTGATTTAACTTGAACCAGAAAGGGGTCTGGGACAGGAGTTTTATACATTGGTTTGACCCAAATCAGTTAAGTCTGGTACTATATTCAACCAGATTTGTCTTGAACCAGTTTCAGCCATTTTGAAACCAGTTTATGTGCACTGAGCTTCTGTTCTGTTACAGGTTTAAACCAGTTTCTAATCATTTCAACCAGTTTGTGTGCACCTTCTGTCTCTAGACAAGGTTAAAGAATATATTAGACAAATTTCTTTGAAGCTCAAGTAAATGGCAAATTAGTTAGAAAATGGATGAGAACTCCCCAGCTTGCTAAAAATGGTGCTGCCTGGCATGTCTAACTTGCTGTTAACTGACTCTACATAATCGGTTTGTATCTTAATACAAACAAATATCTACTTTCTGCCATTTATCTTGGCAGTTCTGAATAAGGTTTGGGCCTGATACTTGAGGCTATATTCAGTTAATTATATTTTTAAACTTCAAGTCCACTTCTCTGTAATGTATAAAATAAAGTAATATTACTCCAGGTTATTACACTGTCTGTTATCTGATTCACTCTACATGTTATGGAGAGGCTAAAAACTGTTTTCTCCCTTTTGCACCCCACAAAAGAAAGCACTCATTGCGGAAGAGTGCACTCTGATTCTTTGCAGTGTCCTCTCTTCCTTCATTCTCATTTTCTTCCTATTGCTTCCTTTTGCCTTGCTTTCCTCTTTGCGCTTTAAATGGCAAGAACAGTTCCCCCAGCTTCACTGTGTCCTTTAAAAAACAAACAAACTAATCAAAGAAAAAGACTTGACAGCTGTCTCCATGTATGTTGTCCTTTGCTTGCCTGCAGCTTCCATTCTTCTTGAAAAAGTTGAAACATGTCTCCTGTGTCTCTTTTCTTCACCAACAATTAAGGTCTCTCCAGGATCTCTCCAGACAGACAGATATTCCTTATGGCACTGTCTTGGACTCCGCAGTCTATGAGCACGTTCGAGTAAAAGGGATGAATCCTTTTGAGAGGGACAGCATGTATTCCCAAATGTGGCGGATGATTAACAGAAGTAATGGCTCAGAGAACAATGTGCTGGAATCAACCGCAGGCATTCAAAAGGTATGGGATATGGTTCACTATTTTCCTGGCTCTCACTGATGCTCTTATGCAGAGCTGGATTTTTTAATTGTTGTTTTTAATATTTGAGGTTGCACTTGCACATAGAATAATCATCTTATCTAATCCTATCTAGTAGTTTGTATTGGGTTTTTATTGCACCAGAATGAGGATTGCAAGATCTCAGTTAAGTACCTCAGGGGCAATCTTCCATTACATTTTAAAATTTAAATGCAAAAATATTTACTGTTAAAAGGATGAGGGTTGTATATGTATGAAAAAGATGAATTCACTAGAATATAGTATAAAAATGTTGTCCTTCAGTTATAATTCAGAATCGTACATGTTGTGAGGAAGGCAGATTGAGAAGTATGACCTAGGCCTGGTTAGTTTGGTTTTTTGTTTGTTTAAAGAAAAACCCTGCAGTCTCTTGATTTGCTGAAAGGAAAATAAAATGACATAAAACTCTTCTCTCCAGTACATTTTTAATAGTGGCTCCCTGAAGTTTTCTTGACTGGTATTTGCTTGAGTCTTCTTAAACTATCACTTCATGATAGGACACAGAATGAGAGTGTAAATATTTTTTCACTGGTGACTCAAAAGGGAATGTAGCTATGTAAATAAGAATAGACTTTCTGTCACACTAACCCCACATTTTCGCCTTGCAAAAACAGCATGTTCTATAGATCTGATATTAAATTTGAAAATGGGGAGATATAATAGAAAACTGCATTTTGCATGTTACCTTTTCTAAGCTTCAGTTATCTAATTTCTTTTTTAGATTTATCAAAACCAAAAACTTTTCCAGGGTTGTTGCCTTTTCTCTCTCCTGAAATTCATTTGTTAGGAGATCTGTCAAATCTTGAGTATTTTGATACTTGAGAATCTTATACAGGCAAAATTCTGATTTTTTGATAACTATAATGCAATTTCCTATTGGTGATCTCTTGATAATAAATGAACTACAGGATAACAAAGATTGTTTGGGAGTTTTTAAAAAGTCATTTCACCCACAATCATTGCCATAAAAATTGTACTTCTCCATATTTCCCAGAGACTAATCAATGTGAATAAAGAGGGGGCCTGGGGAAAACATTTTTGAAACCCTGCTAAAAGGTGTCATAAGATTAAATGTTTTTGATATATTTCTATAGAGCTGGAGGAAGGGACAGCCAAGGATTGATTGGTCATGGAAAATGGCATTTTTAAGAAAATGCATTTAATTCATTATGCATTTTTAAAATGCTTGTAAACCTGGGAAGCTCCTGTTTAAAAAACCATCCATCTCTCTGGTTTGCCTGCCAAAGTTATACCAAGGGTTTCAGGAGAATCAGAAACCAGAGCACATCAAACACAGCTGTGTTTGACTAATGCCCTTTAGCTGAGGAAAGTAACCAGTGTATCACACTGGCAGGTAATTCCAGATTACAGTCTTCAATTTTTAATTTCTGAAAACAAGGCAGTTGCTGTCTTTAAAATGATAGAAACAGGATTCTCTGGGTTGTTTAGTTTCCCATAGCTTTACTTTCCAGGAATACGCAGTTGCAGGTGATGGGATCAAAGAACTGAGCTTTAACAGAAGACCAGCTGGCCAGCCAGCCTTTCATTTGAAAATATCAAATGACTGCAGAGGTATTCTCAGTGAATATATATGCATCCTCACAGATTCATAGATTAAGGGTCAGAAGGGATCTAGTGGATCTTCTAGCCTGACCCCCCGCCAGGGCGGGA